GTAGTCACTAGGCTGGTGCAGTCTAACTTTATAGCAGGTCAAAAAGTTAAATAAAAGAGGCAAATCTTAAAAATGAACGGTATAGTATAAATGCATATTAGACAATAAGGTACTCTATGTTAAGTAACTGTTTGGATCTCTTAGTCATCAGATGATGGTAACATGAGTTATTATGTTCATTCTTCATTGTTTATAACATGGCTCAATATCAAATTTCTAATTAGAGGTTGCTCCAATAGGCGATAAGATGGGGGAAAATATATAGGTGGTTTGGCCATGTGCACCGTTGACCTCGAACACCATCGCTTAGGAGGGGTGATTTGGTTCAAGTGGAAGGACTCTAGAAGGGTCAAGGGAAGGCCCAAAAGGATTTGGATGGATGTCGTGTGAAGAGATATGGTGGTGACTTATGGTTTGCCTTAGGTTATAGCCTTTATATAGCGGAAGGGCAGAACAAGATTTGTGTTGGCAACCCAAGTGGTTGGGATAAGACTCGGATGATGATGATGATGATGATGATGATAGAAGGACAATCATTTTTGTGAGCAGGAATGATTTTGTTATTGTATACCAAAAATGTTGAGCTTGATTAGAATCGCCCGATTTAGATCAAGAATCAAGGGAGCCGGTTCTATTCCCTCAATATATCAAGAATTGGTCGGTTTGGTGATAGAACTAGCCGATTCTATTAGTGAGTCGAGTTAAATAACCCGATATCCATATAAATTTTATTTATTATATTTTAATTTTTTTTTCAGTTTTAGATTTGTTGATTTACCTACTTCTCTGGCCCCACCATACCAATGCACAGGCTACCATAAACGTGTCATTTTCTTAGGCGTGGCTCCCTTTTTAAAGGGCTTTGGGTACCCTTGTCTTTGTTATATTCTCGATGTGGTATACATTAACTCTTTTCCATCTCTCTCAAAAAACGATTAATCTCCACCATTTGAGATGGGCCTGTCCGTCATTAAATAGGTCTTTTTAGTTATTTTTGTCATACTTGAATGAACAACTCATCTCCTTTCCATCTTTCTCCAATTTATTCTCCACCTTTTTTGTAGGTATTTTCCTCATACTTGCCATCTCTTTCCCTCCAATTCTTGCTTATTTAATTTATGCTCTTATGTAACGTATAAAGAAAATACTCTCTCTCTCTCTCTCTCCAAATCTTTTCCATTTTCTTTTTGGTAGTTAATTCTTTTCTATGTAATCTATGATCGTATACATCAAGGGAAAATACTTTTTTTTCCCTATGTGACATTCCCATGCATATTAAAGTAGAACAAGTCGAGGAATAGGTTACCACTCCAAATCATCATCATCATCGTCAAAGCCTTTTCCCAACTAATTGGGGTTGGCTACATGAATCCTGGTCTGCCATTCTGCTCTATTAAGAGCCATACCCTTACTGTGGCCATAAGGCCCCATATCTTTTCTCACTGTTTTCAATTATTTCCTTTTGGGCCTAGCCCTTGCCCTTTTTGAGCCTTCCACTTGAACTATCTTGCACCTCCTAACAGGTGATGTATTGGGTCTGCGCCACACATGCCCAACCCATTTAAGTCTACTATCTCTCATCGTATCGCCTATTGCTGCCACACCTAAATTTTTTCGAATGTATTCATTTCAATTTCTACCCCTTCTTATCTTGCCACTCATCCATCTCAACATCTTCATCTCCGTTGCACTCATTTTATGCGTATATTGTGTTTTGACCGCTCAGCAATCCGTCCGATAGAGCAAAGCTGGTCTCACAGTTGTCTTATAGAACTTGCCCTTCAGCTTCATTGGTATGCGGCGATCACATAAAATTTCGATTGCACATCTCCACTTCGTCCACCCAGCTTTAATTCTATGTGCGACATCTTCCTCAATCTCTCCAGTTTTCTAAATCATCAACTCAAGATATCGAAAGTGCGCTCTTTTTGGTAATTCTTGGTTGTCAATCCTAGCTATTTCCTTGTCTCTGCTCTTATTATTACTAAACTTACATTTCATATATTTTGTAATACTCCAACTAATTTTATGACCTTTAGATTCTAGAGCATCCCTCCAAAGTTATAACTTTGTGTTTACGCCGTTTCGGGCCCCATCGATCAAAACTGTTATCTACGAATAACATGCACTACTGTACCTCATCTTGTAGGTGCCTAGTTAAGTCGTTCATAACTAAGACAAAGAGGTATGGGCTCAATGCTAACCCTTGATATATACCTTTGTCACTGAAAACTCACTTGTCTCTCCACTAGTTGTTCGTACACTTGTTAGCACTCCATTGTACCTATCTCTCACCAATTCGATGTAGTGTCTGGAGACTCCTTTCTTTTCCAACACCCACCAAATCAGCTCCATTGTACCTATCTCTCACCAATTCGATGTAGTGTCTGGAGACTCCTTTTTTTTCCAACACCCACCAAATCAGAACTTGAGGTACTCTATCATAAGCTTTCCCTAGATCTTACCACTCCAAATATTTTTTTAAAATAAAGAGGCTGATATTTTTGTATGGTCTAACTCAAGCAAAAAATGTTTAAGCTAAATCAATGGAGAGCAGGTGAGGCCAACATTTTCAAGCAGCTAGTGAGATAAATTAAATATGAATGGAAATAAATATGACACCTTTAGAGAGATAAAACATTAATAAAAAAAAAATTGACACCTTTAGAGAGATAAAACATTAATAAAAACATAAATGGAAATATGTAATTATTCAATAAATTAATTTTTAGGGAAAGGGAAAAAAATAAGAAATGAGTAGGCAAGACTCTCTATCTTTACAAGCGACGGTAGTACTAGAGATTACAAAAACACAAAAAAAAAAAAAATTGTGTTAGAGTGCATTTTAAACTACATTTAGACTATGAAATGAATGTATTGGTCAACAAACACTCTGACATGAAATGATGTCTCATTATTTACATATTTTTGTAAAATAATGAAGATCTATAATGCAATACCCCAGGCTTTGTAAACCTAAAAACCAAGATTTTTAAGAAATTTTATGTATTTTAAGGCCGAATGATTACCAGCGATCCGTATTGCCAATCCATACCGGTTTTGGAATAGGCGATCAATGTCACCGATCCGTTTCTTTAAACATTGACAATTGCCAAATACGAAGCAAACTGTACATAGACCCTCAAGTGAGCCTCAGTTTCTGAAGCATCACTAATACCCGATCTCAAGAAAATATATTCATTTCAATGGTGTACCCAAATAAAGTGCGGATTGTGCCAACTTAGCGAGGAGAACTTGGGCCTCTGGTTGTGAAACATCAGTAAAATCCACAAATGCCATGAGAGCTTTTATGCTGGTGTCCTCACAGTGGATTCTTACACAGTAGTAACTTATGTTCTCCCAATGGATTCTATTTTTCAAAGAAAATGAATTTTAGGGTGTCGAGATATGGATGTTTCCTGACGTGTTATTATGGATGTCTTATGTTCTAGGTGACCTTTATTTTGATATTTATGTAACGGTCCCAAATAGTTGGGACAAGGCTTGGATGATGATGATGTATTTAACTTGGATAGTTGCAATAAATTCAGGTTCACACATAGTTGCAATAACTTGGATGTTTCCTGACGTGTTATTATGAATGTCTTATGTTCAAGGTGACCTTTATGTTGATATTTATGTAGTTTGATAATTGGAATAAATTCAGGTTCCTCCAGTCCCAAATAGTTGGGACAAGGCTCGGATGATGATGATGTATTTACCTTGGATAGTTACAATAAATTCAGGTTCACACATGATTGCAACTCCAAGATCTGGAGCTAATTGTACAATGACTGAATTCTTGGAAATCTCTCGGTTTACAGTGTCATTTTGGGGTAATAGATTGTGTTTTTAATATTATTAGGTGTTTAAAACGTAAGCATGGCTTGTGAGTTGATAGTGATATTGAGGGGATTATATTTCTCTCCTTGGATTGGGAACTTCGTGTTGGTCTCACCCATGGAGAACATCAGGCAGTGTACTGCTGTGCTTGCTTATGTTGGGGACCTAGAGTGGCGAAGTATGGTATTTGTATTTAACTGAGACTTTTTGATAGGTGAAATTGGCAATTTCCTTTTCTTGCTATTACCTCTTTACACCATTTTTTATCTTGTTTTCATTGCTTTGTCCATGGGCCCGTGCTGTTTTTGTTTCATAAAACAATTTTCTTATGAGCTGGTTCTGGGTCATCTAGATATACTTAATTGGTATATAACTGGACCTGAATCTGAATACTGAAATGAATAACTATATTTACCTCCAGAACTTGACATTGAGATACGGTATTTGCATGGTTATTGTGTTGTCGTACTCCATTTAGTGTATCCTGGCATGTTGTTGGAGCTTTAAGGTGCCATCAGATGGCATTCTATTGCCTTCTGGGCATTACATATGAGGGTATTGTTTCCTTAAAAATTTACTTCAAAGTCAAATTATACTCTATTGCATAGTTATTGCTAAAGGTGTTGGATGCATGTATAATTCTACAAGTGCTGCCTTCATTTGTAAATTAGTTTGGTGCGTGATAGTTATCTTTCTTTATCTCTATATTATACTTCTTTATGTCTCATATATATGGCAATAATTAGTTTGGGCTCTGTAAATATTTGTACTTGACAAACTCAAATTATGCTCATCGCATTGTAATTGCTAAATGTATGGGATGTATGTATAATTCTACAAGTGCTGCCTTCATTTGTAAATTAGTTTGGTGCATGATAGTTATGTTTCTTTATCTCTATATTATGTTTCTCTATTTCTCATATACATTCTATATATGGCAATAATTAGTTTGGCTTTATAAATATTTGTACTTGTCTTCATATGTTTGGCAGGTTTATTTATCTTAGAACTGCACTGGTTCTAAGATGTGAAATGAAGGAGGCTTATGTTGTTGATTAATTTGATTAGTATTTTTCTCCTTCAAAACTGGATCTTTATTCAGATGAGTAATGCTGAACCTGCTTTTTGTAAGCCTTGATGTATTGTGGTTGGTTCAGGTTCCTTTTTGATGTGGATTGTGCCGATTACAAGTACTATGAATACCGCATTGTAGAGGAGGAAAAAGAGCTCGCTCAGACAAAAGCATCCCAAGCTACCAGTGCTCGTTAGTGCCTTCCAAGTTTTGTGGCTTTGTCTAGATTTCTTGAATACAATTTTGATATAAACAACTTGGATCTTTTCAATATTTGTACATATTTCCCATCAATAACTGGATTTGAACCCATATGTTAATTAAATATTCCCATGATCCTGTTTGATTTTTGAACTGAGGCTTGCTTTTTTCAATTTCAAAAGAAAAAAAAACTGAAGGCTTCCTTTTTGTGACTTCTACAGCAAGCTCAAGTAGCAGCGGTGGTTTTCGACCAGCTAATACTCCTCCGAAGATCTCCTCATATCAACACACAAGGTATCAGACCCCAGCATCTGCTCTGTATTGTGGTGATGATGAACCATCATCAGTTGGAAGAACACCGTCACATGGTATGCATCGACTATTTATACTCCATTGGACATTGAAGTTTTTTATGGGGAATGAGTCCTATATTCCCATAGACCAAAGGAAAGCCATTGTCCATTTGGCTCATCATTGTCCTGTAAAATGATTGGAAGTCATGGAGAGAAAGTGGGACCCACACATCCAGGTGGTGGGTCCCACTCCATCTCCATTAATCTTCTCCATTTCTTTGTACAGTGATGACCCATTTCACTGATGATTTTTTTTAGTCTATTGGATTTATCTTTTTGAACCCTGTAAATTTTACTTCACAATAGCTGCGATAGCACCTGAGTTTGTTTCCCTTCAATGTGATCTTAGTGTATTCTTATTGGGATTTGCTCTTTTTTTTTAATGGTTCAGGAGAAAGCAGTGATCAATCTCAAACAGCTGATCCCATTGCAATGATGGAATATTATGCCAAGAAAGCTGCTCAGGAAGAGAGGAAGAGGCCACCAAAGCAATCAAAAGATGAGATGCCACCCCCTCCATCTCTTCAAGGTATTTAGTTGGATGTTATCCTGCTGTTGAAACTTTGATGAAATTGCTAAATCTCTTCTAGTGAAAGAGCATTACCAGATAGACATTGATCTTGAAATTGTGCTTATTGGCAACTCATGATGAGGAAAGTGATAAACCTAAAATTCTCTTAAAAGTAGAATGTATTCTTTCGCATATTTAACATATAATTCCTTGTTACATATAATTCACTTTTTCCATTTGTAGCGCCAGGTAAGAAGGGGCATCACATGGGTGACTACATTCCACAAGAGGAACTTGAGAAATTCCTATCAGCCTGCAATGATGCAGCTGCTCAGAAGGCTGCAAAAGAGGCAGCTGAGAAAGCCAAAATCCAAGCTGACAATGTGGGTCACAGGCTTTTATCAAAGATGGGATGGAGAGAAGGTACATGAAAGTCTCTTCTGGTTTGGTCATTCTTGCTTTTATTTCCCCACTCCATGTCACAGGAAAAAATGGCTGTTTCATTCTCTCCCATAATGGGAAAAACAATGCTGTTTCTTTTATTCTTCAGACAACGTGTCACATAGGAGAAAATTGCTGTTGCCTATGAGAATGCTTTGTTTCCTCGTGTGTGTACGTGTTTTGTGTGTGTGTATGAGAGAGAGAGAGAGAGAGAAAGAGCTGTGGCCTTGTGAAATGCAGACAGATTATACCAAATACTTTCAACAAGTACTTGGTGTTTTACTTGTTTACTGTTGCTCAAAACGTGAATTCTGGCTTCTATTCGCTTGGGATACTTACATGCTCTCTTGATAACCTTGATTTTAGGTGAGGGGCTTGGAAGTCATAAGAGTGGGAGGGCGGACCCTGTGATGGCAGGCAATGTGAAGCTCAACAATCTCGGGGTGGGTGCCGAGCAACCGGGTGAGGTGACACCCGAAGATGACATTTATGAACAATACAAGAAACGCATGATGCTTGGTTATCGTTACCGCCCCAATCCTCTCGTAAGTGGAAGCTTTATATGATCTCAACTTTTTCGGTTGGTTATTTTGGATTCACATGTATGAGAGAGAGAGAGAGAGAGAGAGAGAGAGAGAGAGAGAGAGAGAGAGAGAGTA